TAAGATTTTGCGGATTTCAGAACAGAAAACAAAAAGCATAATATTTGGACTAAAAGTGCAAAATAAATAAGGCGTATTAGATACGTTTAAATTAAATATCTAGCACCTGTTTCCCTTCTAAACTGCTTGCATCTTAGTTTTAAGATTCAATGTACATAGAAATTTATCATGTTTCATTATGACTGAATCATAGAAATGTCTCGGATTTTGTTATGATTGGATAATGGAGATGATTTTATATGCGTGGAAATAAAAACTGATTCTTCAAATTAATGTTTTATTATCTTCATCTGAAGTCTTAACCATAGCCATGATGGACATCAAAAGGTGTTGAGAGTTCCAGCCATTGCCACTGTGCTTCAAAATTATGACATATATATATACACCCACTCTGTTACTCGGCTCTGTGAGCTCAGTTTTTTTTATTCTTATATGTTGGTAAATTGTGCATTTTTTGCTTTAAAAATGATTGCATTATATTGTTTGTATCTTTCGGTTAAGGTTCTTATGCCTTTAGTTAATCTGCATGCAATAGTTGTAGAACTATCAACAATTTAAAAATTGTTTAAGTGTGGTTAAGCCTGACTTTTTTTTTATTATAGCAGTCATATTTGTTTATATTTGAAACTTAGCAGAATAGTGAAGTTTCCGCACCTTCAGTGTCTCTTTGCCGAGTGGGACCAAAAGGAACTTTCAGTTTTGTGCTCTGAAAAATCTGCTTTCTTGCCCGCTGGCAGAATTGCTTGTTTTTGCGTAGAAACTCTAATTTTAATTGTAAATTTTTTTTAATTGTTTTAACTGTTTGGTGTTTTATCTTTTTCTACATTTTTCAGTTTTTAATGAAGATATTTTGAGGTTTTATGTATTTTTGCATTGCCACAAAATAAGAACTGAATTAATTGAATAAGAAATATATCTACTGAAATTCAAGGAAATATGTTTAAATGAAATGGTGGAAAAAATGCGTTTAATTCAATATTCCGTACGAGGAAGTCATTTGGTGTCCACTTTAGATTTTTAGGTATTTAAAAATTAACTTCTTTAAGATAAATTTTCAGACCAAGTTGGTTTAAGGATTCCTTTAAAAAAATAAACTTTTTAAAAAAATAATTAAATAAATAAATAAAAAAAAAACCCATACTCACAATTTATTAGGGTTTTTCTTTAACTACAGAAAGATTATTTACTGTAAAAAATATAGTTGCATTATTTTTAGGGACCTTATTTTTAAAGGCAAGCAAATACTCACTGTTCACATAAAATTCATATGCTACAGGAAAAAAAAAAAAAAAAAAAAAAAAAAAAAAAAATTGGTTATCAGCTTTTGCGCATATTCAATGCGAATCTTTGCGTTTATATTTATATGGATATATCATGAAGACCTAAAACACAGCTGTTGACAGAATCATCTTATGCCGTGAGGATTTAACAAACAACAATAAATTTCCTCTTTCTGGCAAAGAGCAAACTGTCATGCAAACTCCTCACCCTGAGACTCGCAATTTACACGCCTTCTGGACTATCCTAAGTGTTTTGGCAGAATGCCAGCGAAGGTTGCATTTGATATGGTTGAACTGTACTCACTAGGAAGCAAACTAGGCTGACATTCATCTGATCTCTTGATTTAAAAATTGCTGATTCAAGCAGCATTTCTCCAGATTTCTGAAATCTGAAATGATCTAAAATACGGATCTCAAAGCCACAAACGTTTTTTTGGTATGCTTAACGCATGCACATTTGATTTTTTCTTCCATAGTAAAACATGAGGAGATCTTCAATTAAGAATTCCGATTCTTAAATTCACTTAGGCGCTAAATAAAATACCTCCTTATGGAAAAACAATCATGCAAGCATAAATTTGTGAGATTAATTATTGATTATTAATAATTTGGCTCCGTAGCTGAGTGTCTGCTTGAGATACATCTCAAACGGAAACATTCACCTATTTTATATTCCTGACGCCGACCTGGCAAGTCATATTTATTATATTTTGCTTTCATCACCGCATGTTTATCAATATATGACAGCTTCGGTAATAACTCATGCAGTGACGTCTAAACTTTTTTTTTTTATTAGTAACTGAATAACAAGAGTATGGCAACCTTTTATGCTAACATTACGTTTGGTGATGATTATAGATTTTTAAATGCTCTAAGAAATATTGACGAGAAAAAAATTGAACAAAAATTTCTTTTCATGTGCTAAAAATAGATTTTGTTGATGAAACTCGTAGGTCGAAAGATTACATTTAGTGCTATTTTAATTAAGAATAACTGATACATTATTCACAATAAACCCAGAAGCGGCGGCAGAATACGTCAGCACTGGACAGCAGAATTTAGGGAAGACGAAATTTTTGGACTATGGGGAAGCACCGAGCGGCAAAATCAAGGGATGAGAGGTTTTTTATAATACAAACTTTGTGTAATCGGACCTCGAGCATTTAAAGGAGTCACGATTTCCTGCGTTATATACCATGCAAATAAAAGAGCATGGATGGTGTATGGTGTATTTAATTATGGCAAAGCACACGAGGGCTATCTGCCTAAAGGGAGGGATGCCTTTCGTGGAGGACTTTCTAAGGGAAACTGGCTCGTATACACGTTACACATGGGGAAAACCACGAAAACGCCCATGCAGCCAGCCCGTTCGCGGGATTCGAACCTCGGACCGAACTACCAGTGTTCAGCGCCTTTACCGCTCGGCCGCTGGTGGGCCGCAAAGAGCATGGATGACACAAGCGGTAATGAATCATTGGTTTGAAAATCATTTTATACCCGAGGATCGGCAACATTTGAATTTGGTTGGTTTATCTGATGATTCAAAAATAGTCTTTTTTGTAGACAACTGTTCGGCTCATTCTTCACTTTCTTTTTCTTCTTTCTTTCTTTTAGTGAAAGATAATGTATCCATATTATTCTTCTCTCCAAATTGTACATCTGTCATTCAGCTTATGGATATCAGAATAGTGCGTGCACTGAAATGCAAATATAAAGTAGCATTTTTAAAATCCATGTTAAATTTCTTGAATGATGGCAAGACCATTCAAGAATTTAAAAAATATTTTAGCATAAAATCTGCTGTGTGGAGCATTGCAAGATTGTGGAAGTATGTGTTTCCAGATATGTTAAAAAATGTTTGGCATAATTTATGGCCAGCTACTATATTTCATAGTGAGGACGATGAAGATGATAGCTGCAAATTTGAAGGTTTTCAGATATGGCAAACTAAAGGTGAAATTTTCCAGGTACTGGATTTTGTAAGGAAACATGTGAAAGCGGTAATAAATAAAGATGATATAACAGAAGTTTTTCATTGTGTTGACAATTCCCAATCATCAATCAATTAATGGACGGCGAAATCTGTAGTATGGTTCTAAATCCAGAAAATACTGTTACCGATAGTGAAGAAAGTGACAGAGATGAAAACGGAAAAGTTTCGATTGACAAGTTAGTCGTTGGTATTCTCGACACAGCAATTACAGGACTTGAACAGTGGAACTTTGTAAATGAACAAGAAATTATATCTGTTTATAGAATTAAAGAGAATATATTAGCACAAAAAACAAAGCAATTTAAACAACTTACATTGAAAGAAATGTTTAATAAAGTAAACAAATATTAAGCTTTTTTTTTTTTTTGTAAATTTTGATACCCTTTAGATCATAATTGCTCTTTATTTCATAAATTATGATTTCTTATTTTTAATTGTATAATTCTTGTATGCCATCTTACCAGATTTAAATTGATGATCTAATATCCGGAAAAATCTCAAATCCAGAATCTCCGAAGTCCGGATTTCGGACTTTAGATGTTATGTTCCTCCAGTTTCTAAAAGAACTACAGTATTAGGAAAAGTTTTTTGCATTTACTAAGTTTTCAAATATATCATTAAGTATGAAAATGGCTTTCTATTCCCCACGTTGCAGCCCACACTATTTTTAACTAATGACTATTTGGTGAGTTTGGCATGCCTGACATGATTCATTATATTTAACAACAAATATGGTATGCATATGAAGAATTTTTTAATATAAAATTAATATGTGTTTAAATAATCTCTAATTATTGTGCATACGGTAAAATCTCAAAAATGCTGAATTCCGGGTACGTATAAAATTCCAGATAGTTGAGTGTATGAAAAATTTAATTCATGTTAGAAAAGATAAATCAGTAGGGAAAATTTCTGCTGGAAAATTATAAAAACAATCATTTTGTTTGTTACCAACTAGACTATTAGAAGCATACACAAAAACAGCATTTTAGACACAAAACTGAGGCCTTAAACATGAAAGTAAAACATCTGATTCAGTTACGAAATCCGCTGAACATGAAAGTAGTCGGTGATGTTTTGAGTCATGCTGACAAAAGTTTAAGTGAGCAGATTTTTCATTATTTAGTTAGATAATAAAGAGGTCAAAGTAAGGATATAGCATATAAAAATCTTAAATTGCATATTATAACCTTTTACATTGCATCGCCATTGTTTATCTGTTTTCAAATATTGCATATTGTGGCTTTTTTGATGCCCAGATACTGTAATTTTGAAAACACTTCACTGAAAAATTAAAATCATGCAGATTTAAATTTTTCAGCTGTGCAAAATGCATTTTTTTTTTTTTTTTTTTTTTTTTTGTTTGAATCTTAATAAAAACTAGCTAGCAGTGGAGTATGTGTAGTATTTGTTGAAATACGTACAAGTTTATGTGTAAGTATGTAGTATGTGATTTACCACTTTTAATTAGTTATTTATTTCTTATATGGTGCCTCACAAATGCTATTTTAAATTTGAAGGTGTGATAAAATTGGGGCATGGTGAAAAAATGATTAAAAGGACGATGACTTTAGTGGCTTCATCTAAAAAATAAATAACTAAAATTGTTCAATAGCATACTAATTTGATTACCAATTTGTGATTCATTTTTATAAAAAGGAAGAATTAACTCTTTAGTGAAGAACAGAAATTTGTAAAATTCATATGAAATATATTTGATTTTTCAGGTTGAAAATGGTTTTAAAATCGTGTCTGAGATTATCACAAGGCCTGCGTAAAGAAGTAACATCACAGGTGCTGGGTAAGGAAATAGCATCACAAGTACTGGGTAAAGAAGCTACATCACAAGCATTCAATGAAACAGATGCATCACCAGCACTGGATAAGGAAAGTGAATCATCTTCCACAAGTGTAGCTAGTAAACTTGATCGCCTTCCCCCTTTGCCATCACCCAGAGATTTATTAAAGCTATATAAAATTGAAGCTCAACGTAATTTGTCACAGAACTTTCTTTTGGATTTTAGGCTTAATAACAAAATTGTCACTAAGACAGGTAATGTGAAAGATTGTTATGTGTGTGAAGTAGGACCTGGTCCTGGCAACATTACTCGAGCAATTTTGCAGAATGGAGCTAAACATGTTATTGTTGTTGAAAAGGATAGAAGGTTCTTGCCATCATTAGAGGTAATAATTAAAAAATCTTTTTCTGTGTTTTTAACGGAGTTTTGAAGTATTAAAAATAACAGAAATATGGTAATGTAAATTTAAAACAAATATTAATTACCTGTTTTTATTGCTGTTTCTCTTCATAAATACTATTTCTTGTCCAGAAATAAGTGCTTCTATAAATTGATTTTGTATTTCTAATCTGTGTATATTATTATTTACATTGAAAGTATGTAAAAGTTAAAATATGCAAACTTTACTTAGAAAATTTCTTCCATTTCTTTTTTTATTTTTCTTTGCATTGGAAAAAAGTATTGGCTGATCTTTGGAATATGGTAACTGGTAGTTTGGCGACATTTTGGAGGCGATAAAGGTTACTCTACCTAGGACTTTGGTAATAATGTGAGAAATCCTCAGTTCCGATTACGTATTATTTTGTGTGAGGGAAATTGAGAAATCATGAGATATGTCATGTGACATTAATGGATGAATTACAGTTCTTTAATCGGAAAAAGAGGGAAATGTGGAAAAAATCTGGAAATTTTGTATTTAGCTTTATTCTGTGTTGTGTGACACAACGTTGGTTAATTTTTGGATCCCATGGCCCTAACTAAGTGAATTCGAAATGGCTATTTAGGCATTGTGATAAAGAGAATTTTGCTTTTTATTTAGCGGAGGAAGTATGGAGGAAAAATTCGCAGATTAGGTAAGTTAGTATTTTTAATTATTTGAGGATGTTATTTTTATGCATTGTTCTAAATGTAAGGAGTAAATAAAGTAATCGTATTATTGGAAAATTGTTATTAACAATGATTTAGTTTAAAGTAATTAGGATTGTAAGCTAATTTTTATTATTTTAATGTATGTGCTTATTTATATTTTAGTAGTAGTGTTTTTGAATTTAATTATATTTTAATTAAATGAATAGTTATTTTGTGAATTGTATGTTTTGTAGAATTTGGTATACGTTTCAGTGGAAGTAAACGTGCATGGAAATAATTTAAAATATTTGACACTAAGTATTTGTAACTATTTGTAATGTTTTTGCGGTATGAATTCGTTAGTGATGTTTATAATATAATAGATAATTTAGAGGTAAAAGTTTTTTTTTGGATATTTATTTTATTTTTAACGTGGAAATGTTCATCTTGGAAAGGGTATATATTTTTTCCCGATCAGATAATTTCATATATGTTCTTTTTACCGGATTTAAAGATTCACAAAATTTCATGCAATTTTCATGAAATTTTCTAATTTATGAAAAAAAGCAGTGTACATGGATATAGTGAAGAGTGTGCGCAATGCCATTTTTTGTGCAATTCTGGGATGTTTTTTAAGTAAAAATAAGTCGATGTGTACATGGTTTAGTATTTTAATTAAATGATAGTTATTTTGTGAATTTTATGTTTGTAGGAATTTGGTTATACATTTCAGTTGAAGTAAACGTGCATGGAAATATTTAAATATTTGGACGCTAAGTATTTGTAACCATTTGTAATGTTTGCGGTGTGAATTCGTGGTGACGTTATAATATAATAGATAATTTAGAGGTAAAAGTTTTTGGATATTTTATTTATTATTTTATACGTGGAAATACTTTTTTTTCGCGATCAGGTAATTTAATTTCATATATGTGCTTTTTACCGAGTTTAAAGATTCACAGAATTTTTTTGCATTTTCGTGCAAATTTTGTAATTTATGAGAAAATAGCAGTGTAGATGAATAAAGTTAAGAGTGTGTGCAATGCCATTTTTGTGCAATTGTGGGATTTTTTTTTAAGTAAAAATAAGTCGACGTGTAAATGGTTTATATGTATGTGCTGTTCTGAAAAACGCGCAAGGAGTTTGCGATTGTGCACTTTTTCCCAATTTTCAGTTAATATTTGTCATTATTAAGCAGTTTTGTTACATAAAATTTCTAAGTGTAATTCGGCTAGTAGATTGTTGGAAAAAGTGTTCAGTAAATAAAAAGAAAAGAAACATGTCTTTACTTCGTGAAGACAAAATGGCGGCCCCCCCCAAAAAAATAGAGGGTTGCTGTAGCAGAGTTAGTCGCCAAATTTTCGCCATAAAATTGCCAAGTTACCATAATCCAAAGATCAACCAAAGTATTTTTTTGTTATTGGAACTGGATTCATAAATGTCTGCATGTATGTACGTGCGTACATTATGTGTATAAACACACATACATATCTGCTTACATATATTTGATTTTGAAAATTAATGTAGTTATGCAAAAAGGGTGCATTTTAGGTAGGTTTACAAAGATTCATAATCGTAAGCATAGCAGGGAAGAGTTTAGGCAGGTCTAGTAGACTACTACTATAGATTTCTTCTAAAGGAAGTGAGGTATATAAGATTTTTTTAAGCTGAGTTGCAAAATATACATTTTTCTTGTAGTTATTAGTTCCATGTGCTCTAAATCTGAATTTTAATGGTGTTTTATGGAATTTGGGAAGTGCATAGAGGTTAGTAAATTTGTTGTAGCTTGGATTTAAAGAGATATTTAGTTTTTTATGAAAAGTTTTAATTCTGTTTGTTATAGATGTTTCTTTAAGGTTTGCTAATTGATAAGTAATTGCTTGAAAAGTTATTTATTAACCGGCGGAAGGCGCACCAAGAAAGTTACTAGAACGGCGCGTGGGGTATCACATACCCCAATATTTAAAATACAATAAAAAAAAATAGTATTATTTAGTTTTAAACTTTTTTTTTGTTTTTTTTTGTTCTTGTGTATTATAAATAAGTGAATAATAATTGGGTTTCAAAAAAATTATATTTCCGAAATATCTTAAATGAAAATCTTAAAATTAAGATAAATGAAAATAATAAAAATCGTGCCTCTAAGTTTCATTGCATCTCTAATACACCATTCTTTTTTGTGTTCTTGGCACAGAATGTTTTCATATTTTAAACATTGCATTCACGTTCGTCTGTCCTTGGTGCGAGGGCAAAAAATTTAACACATCTTTCATGCTTAGTTGTTTCTAATTTCATGTATTCGTTTTAATTCTTCATCGAAACTTCTGCTTTTGTTTTGCATGCAGTACGTCAATTTCTTGGAAAAGTATTAATCTCTGATCTTTGTTCAATACTTTTTTCATTAATTGTAATGCTAAGTCCTTCAAAATCAGACTTCTGTTTCTTGTTGGTGGATTAGCAGTTGAATGTAATATAATTCAAGCATTTATTACAGCAACATTCAGTGCAGGAAAGAAAAATTACCATTGGCCACCTTCTTCGTTATTCTGGCAATTGAATAATTGGCTGACATTTCATTCCCCATATCCACTGCTCCTTTAGTCATATTATTAAAACATATAATTCCTAACGTTTTATTTTTTCCAATAGTATCATCTATAGTATGATTGTTATATAATGTTATAATGATCGTTATATAAAGCATAAGAACAGTTTTTCCTTTTTTAGGAACATCAGGAATTAATGTTTTATCTTTTTCGAAACCAAAACATTGTAGAAAATATTCTTAGTTTCATCTTCAGTTTCCGAAATGCAATCTTCATCGCTTTCAAATATTTCTAATAAATCTCGCATGCGTTGCATCTCCAGTTCATAGGGACTCATTCTTTTTACCATAAATGCAGTTAGAAATTTTTTTTAAGAATTTAATGTCAAGTACTTTTAAAATCACTTGCGAGTAGAAATATTTACTGTTACACTCTAGAAATAAATTTCTGAACTAAATATTCAGTCAGAAAAACACTTACACGGACAGGCGCGTGGGGTGTGTCATACCCCAGTTCCAACAAAATACCGATAAATCTTTTTCTGAAAACACACAGGCAAAGAAAAAGCGGTTCTGAAAGTCAACCACAACTAGAAACTCAGCTACTGAAAGCAGCACAGAATTTCAGTTTCACAAGTTAGGAATATTCCACTTTTATGTAGGGTTGGGGTATGATACACCCCACGCGCCTTCCCGCGAGTTAATAATTGCTGCGTAGAACTGTTTCATATAATGCTAAGTTATATTTGCTTTATTTTTTTTGTAATAGTAAAAGTTTTTTAAATTTTTATACCAGGCGGGTTGGACAATTAATGTTGTCGGTATCCCGGTCGTCGGGACTTCAGCGATTCCGAATTATCGATTTTTCCGGATTATAGATCATCAGTTTAAATCTGGTAAGATGGCATACAGAAATTACAAAATTAAAAATATGAAACCGTAATTTATGAAATAAAGAACAATTGTGATCTAAAGGTATCAAAATTTACAAAAAGAAAAAGATTAATATTTATTTGTTTACTTTATTAAACATTTTTTCAATGTAAGTTGCTTCGTTTCATGTGATTAATACTTCTCTCTTTAATTCTATAAACAGACATAATTCTTGTTTAGTTACAAAGTTCCACTGTTCAAGTCCATAATTGCTGTGTTGAGAATACTGACTAATTCGTCAGTCAAAATGTTTTCGTTTTCAATAACCTCTGGGTCACTTTCTTCACTATCTATCGAGGAGGATTTTGATTTAAATCATATCAAAGACGGAGTACATCGAGATGAAATACTACACTTAGTAAGGAATTATAAGCCAAATAAAATAAAAACATCTGCCCTGAAGATAAGGATAGTGCTGACAGATCAACTTCCAATTCATGGCCTGAAATTGATAAACAGATTTTGGATTTCAAAACATACTTTCGCTTTGTAGATACAAATTACATATTAGTAAATATATATCCGAAATTCTATTTGACATAATCGAAAGTTCAAGCTTACTTTTATGAAATTGCTCTAACAGTCTGCAAAAAATAATAAGCCGGATCCAATTCGAAGATTAAGGAACAACGCAATCTGCAACATTAACTGAATTAGATAATTTAGCTTAGCTTATAACCTCCGTTACACATTAAACGTGCATGCGCACAAGCATATTCGCAGCCATAAAGGTCTTACGCGCGCACTCTTAAACGCCTATGTGCATGCGTGACCGCGACGCATGTGCAGAAGTTGTAGCTTTGAGGTCCCGGATTATAGATCATTCCGGATATGGGTGT